CACTGTGGTCCAGGAGGAGGTTCACCATGGCCACGGGGAGGGGCAGGGGGGTGCACGGTGGGCATGGCATGTTCCTAAGCTCTAAGAAATTTTCTGTCCCTGAATCAGTGAGTTCTCTATATCCCTATTATCTTATATTTTTGCAAAGAAGCATGCCTTCTCTGTAGCAGCACCTGCCCTCTGGAATGAGGTCCCCCCCCCCGAGATTTGAATGGCCCCTACCCTCCTGGTATTTCGAAGGGCCTTGAAGACCTGGCTCTTTACCCAGGCCCTTGTGATTGAAGCCCCCTTTTCTTCTTCTTCTTTGTTCCTATCTGGGTTTTTTTGTTTTGTGTTGTTTTATTGTTTTAATTTTTTTTAACAATTTGTAAACTGCCCAGAGTTGCTGGAAGTCAGGCAGCATATACATTTAATAAATTGTTGTTGTTGTTGTTGTTATATAGCTCTAAAAATGTTTTGCAGAATGATTGACTCAAACTATACCAAAGTCTGCAATGTAAAAACAAGGGCAAAACACTACCTGTGTGGCAGAATCTTAATAATAAATCAGCAAGAACAAATTTGCATGAGTACTGAGAAATTTGAAGTTAGTAATGTTAACTTCAGTAACGTGTGTGTGTGTGTGTGTGTGTGTGTGTGTGTGTGAGAGAGAGAGAGAGAGAGAGAGAGAGAAATACTTTTAATTGTAAGATTGCATTAGGAGAAGAATTACCATCCAGAGAACTGTAAAACAAGTTTTATTATTTTTCCCCTGCATTCTGAAATTCATGATAAACTTCTAATAATAGTTCATGATATAACCTGGAAAAAGGAAAGTTACTCAGAGAAAATGTCTAAGTTCATATTGAACTAAACCAAGCTTCTTGGTAGGGCTAAACAGTCCCCCCACCAATTAAAATAGGAATTGCTCAGGCAGTAATTTCGTCCATTTGCGTCAAAACCCTGAAAAGTGTTTTAATCTGTACCAAATTTAAGGAGTTATTATTGCTGTTTTACTTTAAAAAAATGAAGCTCCATTAATATGTATCTTTTGAATACTTTATTCTAGGATGTATCTGACCACTTGCATAAATTTGCAGAAATTAATCTCAAACAACACTTGAAGAAACTAGAAAAAGAAGGGAAAGTGTGTAAGTAGCTTCACTGTTTATATATAACTATTTAATTTTAACAGCATTCTCATCCAATTTTTATAGAAATACAAAACCATTGATATAGGATAACAATAGAAACTGGGTTTTTACAAGCAACCATTAATGATAAGCCAAAATTTGACTTGTTTTCTATGGTGGTAGGCACAGCCTCTTGTTTTTACTTGATTCCTTGTGCTAGTAAAATCAACTAAATAACTATGCCTTTTCCAAGCCAAGTTGCTCCCCAATCAGCAAGGATAATTAATAATTAAGATCACCCCCCCCAGATATTGTGTATTGTAACATGCTTAAAGGTTCCCAACTATATATGATTACATCCAAGGATTACATAGAATGTGTCTTTTATTTACACACTACTTCCCAATGTGCTGGTCAGTGGCCCCCATGTGTATGATAAATCTGCCTGAGAATATCCCCCAACTCTCTGGCATAAATTTTATTGGATACTGGAAGATGAAAGGAGGACAAAATAATTCTGCTCGCAGATGTCATTTTACCAGTGTCTTATATATTGTAATCTTTAGCGACAGAACTTGATATCTTTTTTAAATCAAACCTTTCATAGCCAGCATTCACAGCATTCCAGAGTCCTGTGATCAGGATTCAGGCTATTCACAACCAGCAGGCATTTATGAACATCACAGCATCCCGTGGTCATGTGATCACCATTTATTTATTTAAATTGCACACTTCACAGCCAGCTTCCAAGAAGCAGAGTCAATGGAGAAGCCAGCAGCGAAATTGCAAGTTGCAATCACATGTCTCACTTAACAACCACGCTCCTTAGCAACAGAGTTGCCAGTCCCAATTGTGGTTGTTAAGCGAAGACTACCTGTACTCTTCATACTTTCTTACTTGGTGAAAAAAAAATTAGCTTGTGTTAAAAGTATTATACAGGTGGTGGGTGGAAGGACTAAAACTATCTGACAAAATGCTTCTCAGCATATGAGCATCAGAAAATATGAAAATTAGAATAACTACAGAATTATTTCATGGATCCTAATGTATCTTTTTAAAATATAGCTGAGATGTATATGCATTTAGGTATTTTTTCATAAATATTTGGGATACTTACTCTTGGTTAGGACATTATACATGTTTTACTAATATGGTTACTTACATGACCTTTTTTTCTGTTGCAGTATATGAAAATTCTAACTTCAAGTGGAAAAGCGTTTTATAAATATGGCACATTTATAAGTTTGACAAACATATGCTCTTCTATATTCTGAACTTAAAAGCACTAACATTTATCTTTTGATAGAAATTTTAAAAAAAGCTTCGCTCTAATGGGAAATGCATAAGTACTTCAGTCTGATCTAATGAGAGAGTGAGGCCATTAAATTTGACTATGTTTTTCTGCTTTTCATCAAAATGAATAAAATAAAGGCCAGTTGTTCAGTATCAGTATGTGTAACTTTAGATGAAAATATATACTAATGCTTCTAAACATAATTCCAGACTAACTGCATATAAATCACATACACAGATGGACCTGTATTTTCTGTTATTAATGTGATTAAATAATAATGTGTCAGGGAGTCATTGGAAGAATCATTCAGGATGGAACAAGTCAATTGTTTATGTCAAAACAAAATAGTCAACAAAACTTTCTCTGGTTCACTTGAATACTTTTGCAACACAAACATTTTGGTTCAGGGAACATTATTATTAATTAAACTTGTATGCTGCCTGACTCTCAGCAATATGAGGGTTTAAGCAGATTTTTTTACATATTTCATAAATGTCTTAATAATTTAATTTCCTCTATGATGTTTATATAACCCAACATAATCACTATTTTTGTTTATATTTAGTTTTCTTCCTTTTTTATGTATTATAACCATATATACATACGTTGTATACTTTTTCAGGACCTTTTTTTTTTACCTTGACTGGAAAAAGACTTGATATAGTATAGGATTTGTATAGATTAGTAAACATTACCACTATGATGATAACATTCACCATCACTTTAAATATAGTTGAATAAAGGTGTGAAATATTTAGATTTCAACTACCTCTGTCTGCACATCTCCAAAGTTGAAAGGGTTAATGATAAAATTCTGTGCTGCTTCAAAAAGCATGAAGGATGGTGACAGATGCAGGCAAAGATACAAACACCCAATTCTGTAATTTATATAAAGAGAGAAAGAAAATAGACATTAAAAGCATAACACAGAAAAATTTATTTTATATTTTTAAATTTCAAATTTGCCACTGCCCATCTCACTGCAGAGCAACGCTGGGCGGTTTACAGTAAAAAAATAAATATTAGTTAAAATATAATAAATATGAATTAAAATACATTACAAAAATACTTCCTATGTAAATAATAAATATCTTAAAGCAAATTCCTCACTAGAATTTTTAACCTATTTCTTCAGAATCAGCCTCACCTCAAGCATCTCTTTCCCTGCTTACTTTTCCTGGTATTCCTATCTTTCTGTAAACTTCAAAGTTTAATCAAAGGTTATGGCGGAGCAGTCTTAAAGCCCACCCTTTTCTGGCCTCAGTACACTAACCTCTGCCCCCAGTTTTAAAAGGACCAAAACTTTTTTGATATCTAGCAGAGGAAGAAGCTGGATTATCTGCCTATGTTCATGTGACAGAGAACATCTTTCCCTTATCAATATGAACTGAGTTTGTTTGGCCTAAAAGCTGATAAGCTATGAATGTCTGAACTTGCAGCCTTTACATTCACAACAATGCTTTTTCACCAATATGGGGAAATGTGCCTCTTAAGTATCAATCTACAATTTTCAGCATTCCCTAGTAGTGTGAGATGCTGAAAGTTGTAGCTCAGTAACATTTGGAGAATGCTTAGGAGAAGCCTGTTCGGGATAATAACAAGTTGTGTGATCTTTATTTCAGTCATGTGGAATGACAGAAATATGTGTTTTGAACAATGCTGCTGCATACTACTGGATTTTGTGAAAAGTTGGTATTGATTACACCAAGCATCTCATCTGAACCCTAAAGGAGAGCTATATGGTGACAATTAAGCAATATGTGTGTCAATTAGAAAAAGATTAAAATATACAGTATTTTGTGAAATAAAGAGTTCGTTGACTATGAAAAAATAGAATACAAAAAGGTCTAAGTGAAAAATACATTCTGTTTTGAGCTCAGAATGAATAGACATGTTTAGAACATTCTATCCTATGTTGGAACTTCCAAAATAGGTCATTGCTTATAATCTGAAAGAAAGAACAGGCAAGGAAAAGATATGGGGGAAAGGTGATAGGAAAACCTTATTCTAATGTCACTCAGCACTGTCTTCTAAAATCACCTCCCCTAATCTGGGAGTTCTCCAAATATGTACACGTCAATTCCCAAGCGGGTATAGTTAGTGTGGAGAATTCTGCAGGTTGAAGTCCACACATTTGGGGGGTAATGAGGCTGGGAATAGCTATTACAAAGCTCCTTTTGAGTTGGGCCCGTGCTGAGGAACTGAATAAGCCAAAACTCAGTTTTGCTTCCCAGGTATACATTTTAAGTTAAACTCTTTTGCACAATGAAGGATGGCTATCTAGTCTCTAAT